ATGTTGGTTAGTATGAAATTATAATTGCATTCAGTATGTTTTACAATTTTCTGTGGTGATTAGATTCAAGACAGATTCACAAACCTGGAATGTGAATAATGTCTTACCATTTTTTATAAGGGAAAGTTCTTTCCAAGAAGTGGTAACAATAATGGATGAGATGTGTCCTTTTTATCAGAGCTGAGTGAATGTGTCCTGTTTTATTTTCCAAAACTACGATTGTGGTTGCTTAACTTTAAAAGTCTTTGTTATTTTTATTTTCTGATTTGATTTGTAAACAGGTTAAGTTTTGATATTTATGTAAGAAAATTCCTGTTTTGGATACACTGCTTAACTTCCATTGTACATGTGATTTGTTGGGAAAGCTCTTCGACCCAAAGCATTCATGGCAGAGACAGTGAATGTTACACAGCAGCAGTTGGACAGCTTCAGGTCTCTCCTGTTCACATTTTCTTAAAAAAAAATGCAATTTGTTCTACTAATTATATCCAACCAACTTTACATCCATGGGACAGTCTTGTTGCAAATGGATTTAATGTCAGTGTTATAAAAAGATGGAGACGCATCTAGTTTTGAGGTTAGAGTATGAAATATTGTGACTTGATGGGACGTGTACATGTGGCAGTGATCAATAGATCACACGCTCCCTCCTGTACCTCCTGCTAATGGGGAGAGAGAGAGATAGGTGACTAGGTGTTTTGTGCTGTAGTGTATTAAATGTGCAGTGAATTTTGCACAGGCAAATGGTAAAGTACCTCATTTAAAGAAACTTGCCAGAAAGTTTTATCGTGTGTCTTATAATTTTAATTTAACCTGACTTGGCAGTTTTACATTACTTAATGTTGGTTTTCAGTTATGTTTAGATTATAATTTGGTTTCATTTTTCTCTGTATAGAGTTATATTTTGGGCCTATTATTGATGACAAAGTTTTTGGCACTTTGAATTTTATTTCATAATAGAGTTTTAACGTCCAAACAGTGATCTGAATGTTGACCATAAAGTGGTGTGGTGTATGTGTACTATTGCGTATTAAGTCAGGCATGTGCGCACATCAGTGGCACTCCTTATCTTATGTAAGGAATTTATTTTTATAACATCAGCACCTTCATTTGACCAGTAAAATGGTTCTGAACTCTGGACATGAAGTTGGAACTCCGCAACAGTTTTGGTTCCGTGTTACTCATTTATAAAGACTGCTTACACCTTTTATTTTGAAAGGGAAGACATTTTAATGCCCATATAAGTGCAGTTTGTTGTGTCTATTGAGATGGAACAGTTAGACAATAAGATTGACATTTCTGTACTTCACGTGTTCTGTGTGAGTTTGTTCAATTCAGTGAATGCTTAAAAGTACTACAGCTCTCTTACTGAAGTGTAGTTTCCTTCCTGTTGGTGCTGCTTCTCACAGCCTATCTTTATCATTGTCTTGTTTTGTACATCAGTGTGAATGGTAAAGGAAAAGTGAATTGCATATATCTGGTATATTTCCATTGACACCTACCATCTAGACAATATCCTGCATTGGAGTATTTGAATTTTGCTCTTTACAATGTGGGGCTGATTAAAATGAATTACTCATTAGTGCAATTACTGTTATCTGTGGCTCTAAATCTGTAATGATGTGTGGTGCTCGCATAGAACATTACTGGACCATTGTCTTTGTAATTAATGAGTTTTATGTGGCATATATTTGTACATGCTTTTTTTTTGGATGTGCAAGTTGCTGTATGAATTTGAGTATGTGAACACAAGTACTTCAGTATGAAGATGGCTGTCTTCTGGGTTGTAGTGCCATGTCCTTTAGAAATTTACAATCGTTCCAGAGGTCCTAGCTACAACCCAGAAGGTAGCCATCTTTGTACTCACCACCATGAGAACCTCAGATTCTACAAATTACTTTGAAGTGAATGTTCTTGACTCTGTAAAAGAGTGTCTTAGATTATGCCTTGAGGAAACACTGAAGATGGTGTGTGATTGTTAATCTTCTTCTGAAACCAGTGCCCAATATCCCAGTATCCTCTGCCTTCCATATAATGTAGAACATACTTGAAGGACTGGAAGGAGTTTTAATGTGTAAAATATCTGTGGCAGCAAGCTTCGTGAAATTGTAATGACTTAGAAACAGGGAAAGTGCTTTCTGGGTTTGTTTGCAGCTAAACATCACAATGATCATTGCCCTGTCTGTACATAACAGCTTGAGAACAACTGAATTGATTCTCATGATATTTAATATGGGAGACTTCGCTAAAATTTGTAAGCACATTCTGGTGATGGTTGAAATCAAACAGTAACAGCCTCCCTGCATGAGATTGAGGGGGGAGGGGGGGTCCTAAGTGAGGACTTCCCTGGGAAGCTGTGATATGGCAGCACTCTACCAGACACTGGTCACACAAAGGTCAATGAACTGCAGACAACTCTGACATTGCTGGTGCTGTTCATTAAGGTAAACTTCTGGTAAATGCACCAGAATTTGTATACTCTTCACACTTCTTTTTCTTTTGCAGTTTTAAGGTAAGTGACTGCAGTTCAGTTCCTACTGCCTGCATGCTGGGGATGGATAATGAACTGAAACTGTATTTTTTTTCTTATTATAATTGCGTAAATCCAAGAACTATAGGCTAAATATATATTGTCACAAGTAATGACAGCCTAAATTCAAATGACATATTAAATACATTTGAGAACACACTAGAAATCGATGGCTCCATGATATTTTCAATAATATTAGTATGTCAGACAGTGTTAATATGTAGTTACGTTTGCCTTTAAATCTCGTTTAAAGTGCGCGCAGATATTAATTTTAAGAAAACGTCATACGCACTTTAGTTCAATTTTTGTCAACTTTGGCGACACCTTACATTCTCCCACCACCGATCCGTGGTCGTATTTCAATATGGTAGTGCGTAATTTCTAGTGCGACGAAGGGAACAAAACGTTGGTTTTTGAAATGGGTATCAGATTCTGTAATGTACAGAAGTGACCGCAGAAAGATGAGCACACGTTCAAATCATTTATTATAACGTGTCATGTATTGAAACATTATGGCGGTAAATGAAACGGAGGCAGCTGAGAATGTACGTTTTTTATGTACTGAGAACACGTGAAGGGGTGTTTACCTTTAGCATACAAGTTGAATGACACATTTTAGTCCTGTGTTCCTTTTATTGGCATGGCAATCTCTGTAATTACGTGGCCAGATGCACTAGAAGAAGTGATATGATTATTTAAACCGTAAGATTTTTCAGGTTAAGAGGTTAAAGTGGTATCAGCAGCCCATCAACAAGTTACATAAATTGCATTAAAATTTGAAAAATAAATTTGTATTTATTTATATTTTATTAAAGACGCTGTAAGTAGCTCAGACTGTACGGTAGAATGATAGTATGATTAATACATTTTAAAGGATATTTAAGGAAGTGGTTATTGCTTAATTTGAGGTGCTGCCTTACAGGGTTTTTTTTGAGGGACAGAGGAAAACCACGAAATATCCGAGTATTGCTGGTCTATGTGTTGGGATTTGAACCTAGGATCTTCCTGATATGAAGTGTAAATGTTAACCAATAGGCTGTGATGTTTGGTACGCACATTTTTGTGGTGGCGTCTTCTCAATAGATATAGATACATACTAGAGATTATAATAATTAGGATGTAGAACAAGTTACAACTGAAGTAATACATGGCTTGCAGTGTTTAATGTGCTGTTGGAAAATAATTGTTAAAAGTATTAACAATTTAAATAAATATCTCCTGTCACTGTTTTTAATGTTTAGTACTTGCCTCAAATACTTTCTGAGTTAACTCTAGTGACACTGTTGTCAGATTCATTGTAGTCTCACTCTTCACCAAAGTGCTGGTCATCAGACTTTGCCTTCATACCCTGACCTCTTAGTGTTTCTGATTCAGTTGCCAGTTCTACGTATAGATGTACTTTAGAAATTTACAATCGTTCCAGAGGTCCTAGCTACAACCCAGAAGGTAGCCATCTTTGTACTCACCACCATGAGAACCTCAGATTCTACAAATTACTTTGAAGTGAATGTTCTTGACTCTGTAAAAGAGTGTCTTAGATTATGCCTTGAGGAAACACTGAAGATGGTGTGTGATTGTTAATCTTCTTCTGAAACCAGTGCCCAATATCCCAGTATCCTCTGCCTTCCATATAATGTAGAACATACTTGAAGGACTGGAAGGAGTTTTAATGTGTAAAATATCTGTGGCAGCAAGCTTCGTGAAATTGTAATGACTTAGAAACAGGGAAAGTGCTTTCTGGGTTTGTTTGCAGCTAAACATCACAATGATCATTGCCCTGTCTGTACATAACAGCTTGAGAACAACTGAATTGATTCTCATGATATTTAATATGGGAGACTTCGCTAAAATTTGTAAGCACATTCTGGTGATGGTTGAAATCAAACAGTAACAGCCTCCCTGCATGAGATTGAGGGGGGAGGGGGGGTCCTAAGTGAGGACTTCCCTGGGAAGCTGTGATATGGCAGCACTCTACCAGACACTGGTCACACAAAGGTCAATGAACTGCAGACAACTCTGACATTGCTGGTGCTGTTCATTAAGGTAAACTTCTGGTAAATGCACCAGAATTTGTATACTCTTCACACTTCTTTTTCTTTTGCAGTTTTAAGGTAAGTGACTGCAGTTCAGTTCCTACTGCCTGCATGCTGGGGATGGATAATGAACTGAAACTGTATTTTTTTTCTTATTATAATTGCGTAAATCCAAGAACTATAGGCTAAATATATATTGTCACAAGTAATGACAGCCTAAATTCAAATGACATATTAAATACATTTGAGAACACACTAGAAATCGATGGCTCCATGATATTTTCAATAATATTAGTATGTCAGACAGTGTTAATATGTAGTTACGTTTGCCTTTAAATCTCGTTTAAAGTGCGCGCAGATATTAATTTTAAGAAAACGTCATACGCACTTTAGTTCAATTTTTGTCAACTTTGGCGACACCTTACATTCTCCCACCACCGATCCGTGGTCGTATTTCAATATGGTAGTGCGTAATTTCTAGTGCGACGAAGGGAACAAAACGTTGGTTTTTGAAATGGGTATCAGATTCTGTAATGTACAGAAGTGACCGCAGAAAGATGAGCACACGTTCAAATCATTTATTATAACGTGTCATGTATTGAAACATTATGGCGGTAAATGAAACGGAGGCAGCTGAGAATGTACGTTTTTTATGTACTGAGAACACGTGAAGGGGTGTTTACCTTTAGCATACAAGTTGAATGACACATTTTAGTCCTGTGTTCCTTTTATTGGCATGGCAATCTCTGTAATTACGTGGCCAGATGCACTAGAAGAAGTGATATGATTATTTAAACCGTAAGATTTTTCAGGTTAAGAGGTTAAAGTGGTATCAGCAGCCCATCAACAAGTTACATAAATTGCATTAAAATTTGAAAAATAAATTTGTATTTATTTATATTTTATTAAAGACGCTGTAAGTAGCTCAGACTGTACGGTAGAATGATAGTATGATTAATACATTTTAAAGGATATTTAAGGAAGTGGTTATTGCTTAATTTGAGGTGCTGCCTTACAGGGTTTTTTTTGAGGGACAGAGGAAAACCACGAAATATCCGAGTATTGCTGGTCTATGTGTTGGGATTTGAACCTAGGATCTTCCTGATATGAAGTGTAAATGTTAACCAATAGGCTGTGATGTTTGGTACGCACATTTTTGTGGTGGCGTCTTCTCAATAGATATAGATACATACTAGAGATTATAATAATTAGGATGTAGAACAAGTTACAACTGAAGTAATACATGGCTTGCAGTGTTTAATGTGCTGTTGGAAAATAATTGTTAAAAGTATTAACAATTTAAATAAATATCTCCTGTCACTGTTTTTAATGTTTAGTACTTGCCTCAAATACTTTCTGAGTTAACTCTAGTGACACTGTTGTCAGATTCATTGTAGTCTCACTCTTCACCAAAGTGCTGGTCATCAGACTTTGCCTTCATACCCTGACCTCTTAGTGTTTCTGATTCAGTTGCCAGTTCTACGTATAGATGTAGTGGCTACAGACTTAGTGCTATAATCTGAAATTGCCAAATTCTTATTGGAGGGCTTTGAGGAAAGAGCATTCAGTGAAGCAACATACAAGCCTTGCTGCTGCTTCCAGTATGTTGATGACACATTTTTGATCTGGCCCCATCCAGCAGAGAAACTTGGCATCTTCATGGACTATCCTAACAGCACTCAAAGCAATGTCCAACCCAGCATGGAGACAGAAAGATGGTTGAAGATTTCCGTCTTCTGGGTCGTTGCACTGTGTAGTCTGGTCGACAACAACCCAGAAGACGGAAATCTTCATACTCACCGCTGTGAAAACCTCAAATCTTACACAGAAAGATGGTTATTCCCTCTTCTGGATAATGATATCATCAGGGGAACTATCAACCCCCTGAGTCAGATTTTCAAGGTGGCTGCTCACACAAACTATTTTAATGCTGTGTCATACCACCATTCTGCCAGCAGTTGTTGTGTTTCATCAACCTTAACAACGGATCCAGGTCTGTCTATGATCAGGGGAGCTGTCATGCTCAATTGATTTTCTGCAGTGTACCTTCAGACAAAATTACTACATGGACCATCTTGGCCTTTGTTGATATCACCTAAAATTGCATAAGTGGGGTGCTATTACAAAAGCACATCAAGGCTGTAGGCATCCAGCTAAGGAAAATCTCCTCTGGCTTGTCAGGGATGACCTAGCTCTGGAAACATCACTTATTCTCTGCAGATTTGTGAAGGAATACAGTCACCATGTCCAGCCAGATAAGTTAGCCGTGGCAGAACATACCATCAGCATCAACCTTTTAACCTCTTGTCAATCATATTTCATTTTATTTCAAAAAACTAATTGGTGTCATTAATATATCTGATATGCATGTATTGATATATAATTTCCTCTTAATAATGTTGCTGTGTCTCCTTTTTATTGTTAAAGAGCATGGAGATCCTTGAAGCAAGGTTTATACATTTGCTTATGAAAAAGGAATATCGCATATCGCGTAGCATTCGCATGCAGTGGTTCCTGGAACATCTGAACAAAACGATTACTGTCCCACACTTAGTGGATCTGGTAAGATGTTCAGCATTTAGTATAGTGATTTCTTTAGCTAGGTATCCTATGACATATATTTAAGAATTTTGGTGAACTTGCATTTAATTTTATTTTTTGGGGCTGTTTGCTAAGATGGCTGCTCCTGTGTCTAGCATAGTAAAATAGAGTGGTTTAAACTATGTTTAATGTCATTTTTATAGCATTAGAATATAGTGCGGTTAAGTGACGTACCATTTATGGTAGTCACTCCAGGGAAATGCTGAAGTATTGTGTTAAAATATATTGCTTCAGCATCCCTCCACATATTCCATTGCACTATAATTGCCATAAGAACTGTTGTATTTTCAAAACACTGGAAGATTTGTATATGGAAGATGTTTTGATGTTTATAATCAGATTTTCTTTCTCTGTGGTGGTAGTCCTGCATGTTTGTTTTCTCTCCACAGAGTGCAGCAAGTGGAACACAGGATGAATTGGAGCCTGAATTGAAAGTACTTTCTGTGATTCCTCATGAACAGCCACCAGAATGGAAACCCGAATCTAGTCACATGTACAAATATCTTGTCACCGCTCATTCCACTATAATCTTCTTGACACACAATTATTGCATTGTCTATTGTCTGGACATGAGTCCTTCCCTGTCAGCTGTGGTAAGTGCTGTCAAATGTAAATTTATGTTACAGCGTCTTATGCTGTTATAGCCGTAGGTCACGAAGTTCATTTTTCATTGTATGTCTGATCTTTGTAAGAGGTTTTCATACTTCTCTAGTAATGATGTCAAAGCATGGGGTCTTATGGCAGAATTGTCCATACCTGACAGTAAATTCATGTAACTATTTGAATTTTGTTTCTGTGAAGTTAAAATGTCAGCATATTGGATATATTGGGAGATAACATTATATAATATACCCATAGTGCATCTTCCTATGGAACTGAAACAAATTTTTCATTGAGAGTGGGCGTACTGAACATTTTTATTGTTGTCGTGTTGCACAGAATGGCGGTAGTAATTTTTTTTTCTCTTTTTTTATTTTCCCATATAACATTATTTACATATGAATTTTATACATTCAAATAACAATAAATTGGCAAGCATGGATTAAATGGGATCCTTAAAATCTCGGTACAAATGAAGACTGGTAGTTACAGGATTCCCCTTTTAAAATGTACATACAATTTTTTTTACCGTCTGACACACGCTGCTGATGAGAAATAGTAGTACTGTTAGTATCAGTAAAAAAAATTAAAATTTTGAGATGACCTGCAGTGCAATTTTTAGTGTCTTACACAAATATTTCTTGTTGTGATGAAATCAGTTCACTTTAGATAATTGGGCAGGCAAATTTTTTGGACTGCAATATTTGCAAGAAGTTCATATTAAAATAATTCTGTGATTATCTTGATACATACTTGTGACGCAAGGTATATGGGACGTACGTTTCTTCAAAACTTTACCAACCGTGTGTGAAAGTATATGTCATCATAACCTCAAACCTCACAAAATAATTCCATCTGGCAGAAGTTGATATTCTTTATTTTGTGTACAAAACAGTCCTTTGATCTTTGAGAGATGCTGTTTAAACCTCAGTTGCATTTGTATGCTTAATATTTAAAAGTCTGATTATCAGGGGCTCTGAAGGTTAAACATATCCTTTGGATGCTGTTATTTGTCTGGTTTCATGTTCTTTGTTGTAGGATATACAGCATGGACAAGTAATGATTGATGGTATTTTTGCATCTTTAAAAAGAAGTCTTGATGGACTGACAAAACCAGTAAGTTTGTACACATTTAAATTATTGACTAAATAATATTTTTGTGCTGGAACCAACCAAATGTTTGTGTGGCTGTCTTGTGGTTTTTATGTTAGATACAAAAGTTTTTATATTTTGAGTGTTTTGTGGGAGAAATAGAAAATTTCTTCTCAGTGCAGTGGTTATGACCTTTTTATTTATGGAGACATACATTACATTACTATGTGCTAAAAATAAACACACCCTAGCCTAGAATGTGAATTGCATTTTTTACAAATTTTTCACATTATCAATATATTTTTATTGTATTGTAATGCATAGAAAGTATGCAGATAAAAGTATATATATAATTATACGTACACATTCCACATTTTATGTATTGAACTAAATGTTGCCCACATACAGACCAAATTTGCCAAAGTTGCTCACACAACAAAAAAGGTTGGGCAGGCCTGGGTTAGAACAACAGTTAGTCTGCTCTGTATTATCCTTAATGATTTTGACTTACGTAAAGAATTTTGTTTCAGTTTATTATCCCGGGTTCAAACTTTGTTTTTGAACCAGAGATCTGTGTCACTGTGATCGCTCATACACCATTCTTCACAACTCCTGCACAGCAGGTATTTTCCACATATTTATTTCACTGAGGAGATGCAGTTATTGAGTACTTAATCTCCATTTAACAGTCTTATTAAATTAATTAGACCAAAAATAATACATTTTATTAAGAGCCACGGTGGTCTAGCGGTTAGAACGCTGGCCTTGTAATCCTGGGGTCTCGGGTTCGATTCCTGGCGGTGCCCGAATTTATAACTTGTGTTGGGCAAGGCCGTGGTCTGGGCAACACGGAGTTTTCCTCCGTGGCATCCCAACAATTACTCCATTCACACACAGAAGAAGGCAATGGCAAACCACTTCTGGATCATCTGCCAAGAACGTATATGAACAGGTCCCAATCCGAGAAAAGGATGGAAGGATCCTGTTCATACGGACCTGTCCAGTTGGAGAGACTTGAGAACACCGTGGCTAATGTTGCCGGCATTGCGTATGATCAGCTGGAAGCTCTCAGGGTAAGTGAATTGACGTAGAGACACAACTCTGTCTGTTGGGATGATTAAAACCTTTGACAGTGATATTTGAGGTTCTGATGGTGGTCAGTATGAAGATGGCTATCTTCTCGATTGTGCCATGGAGTCTTGTAGAAGTCTACTGATGTTAATGAAGAAAGATAAGGGAGCAACTGAAAACCATTTACTACGTGGTGGTTTTGTCAGTTGTAATAAGCATTCTTCTTTATATTTTTGTTGGTCTGATTTCTGTTGAATTCAGGTGGGATGGTGTATTTCATTCAGGTCGGTGTGCCTGGCTGATTGTGGGTAATGATAATAGTAGAATGTATCACTGATCGGAAACATGGGTATTATGTTGAATCTTTATAGCTACGTGAGTGTTAATTTCAGGCCGAATCTGAAAAGTTAGTGGGTGGACTCTTTGAGGAAAGCAGCGATGGAGAGATGGTACCACCCCCAGCAGCTCGAGTACCGATGGTGGCGCCCGATGCTGGATTTGTGAACATGCTCAGATATGGCATGCTGGCCCTGCGTCTCTTACCTGAGAGCAGCTGTAAAAGTGAGTGCTGTGTTATTGTACCCATGTCTGCACACTTGGTTTTACAATTTTATATATTTCTGATGATAAAATGTTAGTTCTCTCTTGTAAGCCTTGGTTCTTGTGCATCTTCTTGCTGTGTTTTATTAATGTTTTGTCACTTTGTTTCTTTGCAGGTATGATAGTTGTGACAGATGGGGTCGTAGCCAGCCCAGACGTAAATGTGCTCGATTCAGTATTGGCACAACTTCGTAGTGGTACGGTGTCCTGTTCCTTTCTTCATGTGGGCTCACCCTTCCATCCACACTGTTGTTCTGGTCTTGTTCCTTATGTGGATCTTATGCAGTTTGTGGCAGATGCAACTTGTGGAGCTTATCTCAATATGATTCCAGAAGTTGTAAGTACTTGGAGCACTGACATTATATGATGTGAGTTCTGTAGATTCCAAAATTAATATTTAATTTTATTGTAATTAATGTTTTGGTAACATTTGCAGGACTCTGATTCAAAAGGGACCATGAATGTTTATCATGATAAATTTCTGATGTGGAGGTTCCAGAAAGTTAACTGCGGATCTATGTCATTGATGTCGAATTGTTCCCCTACTCTGTCATCACAACAAGCAGGCGAGTGGCGTGTAAGGTAAGATGGCTGTCCGGCTGTATTAAATATAAAAGTAATAAGGTTTTTGAAGATAATTTATAAAGTACAAATTTTAGCATGGAATGCAACATTTTATTTCATGGTTGTCCTGATTAATAGAGAGGGCAAATAGGATGAAGTAAAGATAAATGTTTAAGACTAGTTAAGTGACCATCTAAACATACATAAAGTTGAGGAAATGTAGATTAATTTATTTATTTTTTCTGTCAGCAATGCCTGTTTCTACGGGAGTCGTGAACCTCTTCTACTTAGAAAGAAACAAGAAAAAGATAACTTGGCAACAACATTGCTCAGTGTTCTGTGTTGCCGATTACGAGAAGGATATACTATCAAGGTACTGGATGGCAGCATTCACTTATCACCTCTGGCCTCAATCGCTCTTACATAATCTCTGTAGTTGATACAGTGCCATTACATTTCATACAGATGAAGTAAAATAAAAAGGCATCAGCATAAAAAAGAAAATTCTGTACTGTATGATAAAATGGTCAAGACTTGACATTTTTATGGTTATGAATAGGGTTCGGATGTTCACGACCTAAAAAACCGAGAAATATGCATGCAAATATGCCCCAAAAAATAGCTAAATATGACCCCAAAAAAAGGCAAAATATGACCTAATTTGTTACGAAAAAATTTGCTAAAATTAAAAAAAAAGCATTTTGTATTTCAATCATGTTATTTATTTATATATGCATGTACAACTATTACATTACTTGATTTTCTAGCAATCTTAATCAAAACCTCAGTTGCTCTAAGTTGTAAATACCTCGTTTTGGATCAGAATCAGATGTTGAGAATACGTGCTGCTATAAAAAGAAAATAAATTTAAAAGAGACTTTTATGCATATCAAATTCATTAATTACATATATAAAAAAAAAATCAAAATATTACATACATTTCTTCATTTTTCTTTCTTGGCAGCATTAAAACACACGAGTAACTTATTTGATCACAAAACAGATAGGTTATCTTTTCATATTAATTTCTTGCATAAATCAGATACAACAAATTCTCAAATAGTAATTAAGCTGTTTGTGGTTGGAAATGGGTGAAAGTAAAGCTCTAGGAAAAATGTAAACTGTGAAACTGTAAGTGTGGGTTCTGCAATATTTGTTTGTATAGATCCACAGATCATATTTCTCAAAATTATGATCAGTGCGGAGTAAAATATTTCAGTATTCTCTTTCTCTTTAGTGAAAAGCCTCTTATTTCAGAATATTAATATTCGCGAAAACCATGTGGAGGTGAGCCTTGTGTTGCCCTGGAAGAACCACATCTATATTGAATATACAGTCAGCTGTCAGTGGCCACCGTCATCATCTGATAGTGTGCGTCCCAGTTCCAGCCCACTGTCTGCGCCTGGTGGCTCTAGTCCATGGGTGTATTCTGGGTGTGGTGTCGTACACTATTCCATTTCCATTGATGGTGAGTTCACTTCTGGCTTTATTAACAAATACAGTAATACACTGAAACATTAACCTTTGCTTTAGCATCTATAATTTAAATTTTTGTGGTACGTTATTGGCCATAGGATAGTAAATGTTTTTTGTGAATACAGTACAGCCTTGATATCAGTTTTTATAACTTTCTTACACATTTTCATAAATACACTGACTGTTAGAATACGTAACTCAGATGTCGCAGCGCTCATATGAGATTCGTTGGTTTAATTTTGTGTCACATCTGTACTTAAACAGGCACATTAATAACTGTAATGCCACATTTTTTAAATTTAAAATATTGTTAGACTGTAATTTTGGAAATACAAGTAAGCACTGAGTGTTTAATGTATTTTATTGAAGGAAACTTATCTTTGTGTTAGTACATTGAATAATTTGTATTGCTGCTATGCATGAAACACCAAATTGGACTCTGGGTATGGCCTGTGTGGATTAAATTAAACATTTGGACTGCTTTGTAACATTCAAGCTAAGAAGTTGGTACTGAAATATAAGGGACAGTTCTGACTGCCATTTTGCACAATGTTCCAAATTTTAATGCTGATAAAAACACGCATAATCTCGATTGATGCCAGCCAATTAAGGACGCCACTTGAAGACTAGAATTTAATTTTTTTGGATTGTATATCAGTGAATATTCATTTGAAAATGTTTCAGACCCAATCTGTGGAATGTGTGAGATAAAGGTTTTATTATGCAAAAGATTTTTCTGCAGTGAAATTGCTTTTGTGAGGCTTAGTTTTGAAAAATAAGTTAAAAAGTTTGAAGTTCAAAACTATATTAAAGGCAATGTTTGCTTTGGTTCCTCTGTTTGAGTGTTACAGAATCCCAAACTAAACTGAGTTATTGAATAATTTCATCATTGTAATATTTTCCACTTACAGTCGATTTATGTCCGTGACCTTGTGGAAATGTTATTAATGAAATTCATTCATTGTAAAGCTGTTAATTGTAATTGAGTTACAGATGTAGGATTTTATACTGTGTGCTGTAAATTTAAATAATTTCCAAATTAAGTGCATAGTATTTGTTTGTGAATTATTCAGTTAGTAAACATTACTTTTTTTCAGCGCCATATGAATTTCTTCATGACATCACATGCCCGTTGAAGAAGCAATTTAAGTCTCAGTACCGACAGGCTGTGGTGTCTCGCTTCTGGACCACTCTGAAAAATCTGAGTAGATCAGATCAGTTGCTAGTGCATCTGAATTCTTTTCCTAGCAACCCTGCGACGTACACCATTCCTGAGAGCATACGTAGTGGGATGCCAGTATTCTACCTGCTTGCAAACTCCTCGATTCCAGTACTGTCTGCAAGGTAATAAGTAAGCTGTTCTTTTATCTCTTGCAGACGAAATCAGACAGTATGGTGTTTTGGCTGTATTCATTTTTGTTATATTTCCCTCTGGACATTGCAGTTCAGAAGGATAGCTGCTGTGTATATCCTTGAGCGTGATGATTGGTTACAGATAGGGGTGTGATGCTCTTTCGAGTAGGGAAAACAATCGAGCTTGCTTCGTGAAAATAGTGAGAGAGCACTTATGCAACATTGGCAGATTTATGTTTAAGGGATTATGGAAAGTAAAAGGACAGTGCAGAATAAAAATTAAAAACTGAAATTGTCATTATGCCACTTCAGCAGCCTGGCTTTTTAAGTGTCTTCATTAGAAGAAATAAGTTTTTACATATTATCCTTTCTTTGATGGAATAACATAATGAGAATGACTCCAGTAATTGTTAATATTGTTTTGTTTCAGTGATATGACTTGCCCACAGTTTGCCCAGTTTTGGAAGTCCATATGTCTCTTGGAACCTTCTGTGTGGAAAAAGTGGCTTCATACGCATCGTATAGGACTCGTCCTCCAGCATGACCGGCCTCTACCCCGATACTTACACTTGGCTTATTCTAGTGGCCGTTTTCAAGTCGTGCAGTGTCGCCAGGCAGCTGCAGCGCTGTATTCTTTACTGAAAGACTGGAGTACCTTCGTACTCATAGAGAATCACTCATATGTAAAACTGATTTATAGGTACATGGTGAAATATTTTTTTTAATCATAATAATTCTTGTTGAGTGACTTGCATTTTACATTAACTTTACTTTTATCTGTCACTTTTAATATGACATGATACTTCAAACTGCAATACAATAATAAATTGATAAATGACTAAAATTTCTCTGCTTTATTGTTTGTGGATCTCTACAGAAATATATTGTTTTGTTTTCAGGGATGCTGAGAAACCTCCAACTTCCTTCTACATTATTCGAGTTACATCGAAACTTCCCTGTGTTGTCATACATGTTGCTTTCCTAAATGGTACTCCAGGATATCTGCGTTATAAGGTGATTCATCAGTCTAAACTACGCTTTTGAAAACCAAAAGCTTCTGAAACATACTACCAACTTCTTAGCATTTTCAGATAGGACATACATGAAGATGGCATGGCAATTTTTTTTTCATTTTGCATTGATTTTTATTTTGAAACAGTTTCAGTACAACTTTTCACTGGAGGTTCAGTGCAATGTACAAGGAACAAAAATTCATACTAGAAATTTCATGTCTAAAACTTGGCATATTTTAATTAGTGCATGATCTTTTGGTTTTAGATTCATTATTGAAACTCATTATCATTGCAAGCTATCACAATTTGTATTCATACGAGCATCAGAGCAGTGCATATATTTTTATATATGTGTGCGCGCGCACACTGCAGTATGTGTTCATCCAGTAATTGTAATTGCATAAATTGTGTTGGTGATTTTTTTCCATTCCTTGTTGCCAGACAGTTCAGCAGCTGAAGGACCGTATCGCCCAATTGACTTTCCCACAGCGACCATCAGTAAAGGAACCAACTGTGAGGAAAGTTACACGGTCCGCAGCCGCTTATGCATCGGCACGCCAGTTACAAGAACAGGCACAGCAGCCGTCTCCAACACAACAGCGACCAAGAAAGTGGTCAGACGTCAGTTGTGTTCTTCTTCAGAAGCCCGTAGAGAAGATTCTCATTAGGTATTTATTTTATAGAACATTAGCAAAAACATATCCACGTGGCCTATTGTTAAGAAAACTGAGGATAGTCACATATTTCCAAGTTTTAATCAATTATAGACAGATTCTTTAGACATTTAACATATATAGGGAAGTAATAAATGCATATAAAATTTTGGTTAAAAATTGTGTGGGATAATGGCACTTAGAGACCAGGTCATAGATGGGAGGATAATATTAAAATTGATCTTTAAGAAATATGGTGAGAATGAGTAGGCTGGATACAAAAAATTTTTTCAGAAACCCGGCATCATAAAGTTGTGAAAATTTTAGCTGTTGAAGACAAGTATGTGTGAGCTGAAACATCGTGCTTGTCACTTGAGCAGAAAACATGTTTCTTGAGGCCTTAAATCCTACTACAGGTGTGCACTGTTCATCACACCACTGGCTTTTGGTACTTGGCATCAGAACATCAACTCTGAAGTTACTCAGGAATAGAAGTTCTGGTAAGGGTTTTTGGGCTCACGTTCTTGTACATCAGACTGAAAGGATATTCAGGATCTTTTATGGTATCATGCCACTTTCTTGGAGTGACTGAGGAATACCAAGAAAGAACTTGAACTCTGGATCTATGAAACAAATTATACTTTGTTAGTCATGAATTGAGAGATTTATCAGTAACTAACTGTAACTCCATGGAGTAAGGCCATTCTAGAGAAGCTAAAGAAGGGCTTTTAAGAATTCCAAAGGTTAATTGCCATGTTCACAATAGCCTGCCACCGATCCATATCCTTAGCCAGTTTAATCCAGTCCACACACACTCCTATCCTTTTTTTCTGGAGATCTACTTTAATATTAACTTCCAATCTGTGCAGTAAAGCAGTGGTTTGTGCGTTTCAGGTATGAGCGGATGCCATCTGATTTTGGGACTGTTATATTTCCGGATGGGACAATGCCGTTAGCACCTGCAAGTCAAACCAAGTCACGAACTGCAGGCGGAGGTCTCCTTACGACATTGTCACGTTACTTGCATCACCGGCGCTGGGTTTGGGCAGCTCAGAGTGGAGCCGACGCAGAAGAAGAAGCTATTGCTCGTGTGCTAGCCACAATCACAAAGTGAGTTCAATGAGAAGAAGCATGCAGTGCGGTGTTTACTTAAAAATAAACTCCTGGGGTCTATATCCGTTACAGATAGATATAATTGAAGCATCCAGATGATTTTGTTTAAAATGTGGTTTTTGACCATTGAACCAAAGATGCTACAGTTTACATATAATTTATATTTAGCATATATAGGACTGGAGAATAAGATCGAATCGAGAATTGAAAGAGATCCTCAGTAGAGGAGACATTGTGAGATGTGTGAAGTCTCGGAAGCTGGCTTGGCTAGGCCACGTGGAGCGGATGGATGGGGAAAGGTTGCCGAGGAAGTTGCTTCATGGGAGAATGGAGGGAAGGAGGAGACGTGGAAGGCCAAGGAAGAGATGGATGCAGGACTTGGAGGAGTAACTGAGGACCATGCGGGTTGGAAGGTGGTGGGAGAAGCTGTGGAGTAGGGAAGAATGGGTGCTCATTGTGAGGGAGGCCAAAGCCCACCCCAGGCTGTAGTGCCGAGGAAGGAAGGAGAAGAAGAAGATATATAGGACAGTAGTATTCTTCCTACATAATATAAATGGGGAATATTTCATGACTTTGGGCATAGTTGTTGTATTTAGTAGAATTGCTACATATGTTATCCCTTCCATTGTCCTGCTGATGTCGAGTGCCAGCGATGTGTAAAGAATACCTTTGGAATTTTAGTATAGGGTATACCTTAACAAAAAAGCCACGGTGGTCTAGCGGTTAGGACACTGGCCTTGTAATCCTGGGGTCTCGGGTTCGATTCCCGGCGGTGCCCGAATTTATAACTTGTGTTGGGCAAGGCCGTGGTCTAGGCAACACGGAGTTTTCCTCCGTGGCATCCCAACAATTACTCCATTCACACACAGAAGAAGGCAATGGCAAACCACTTCTGGATCATCTGCCAAGAACGTATATGAACAGGTCCCAGTCTGAGAAAAGGATGGAAGGATCCTGTTCATATGGACCTGTCCTCAGACAGAACACTAAATAAATAATAATAATACCTTAACAGTCTCGCTAGTTATATCAGACTAGTGATGCTATATAAATGTTTTGTAGAACTGAAATTATGTTCTGCAATTTATGGGTTGAGTTGACCCAGTATTTGCTTTATTCCCTGTTTCAGAATGCGTCTCCAAGAGGGATTTAGCTTTGCTCATTCTACTGCTGGAATCATCAACATGGTTTTAGAAGTGCAGATGAAGGTATGTGCGCGCGCTACTGTGTTCCATTATTTTGTGTAAAACGTGTATAAAGAGGCATCTATATTTCAAACTGTGGCGTAGCTATATGAGTCTTGATATGATGGTGTTGTGTTCCTCTCAGGGTGAGGCATGCTGTGGAGCCAGTCATTTGGAGGACATTGGGAATGGAAACCGCAATGAAGACGAGAAGTGGAAGGACAGTCTGCGGCCGTGTGTCATACAGTATGTGATGTTTCCACCTCACACCACTTCCAGTAACAGCAAGGAAAGGTTGGTACAATAATTCATACCATGTTCATTGCCAGATTATTCTGCCTTTCGTTGATTACGCAGTATAGCCATCTTGTTAATTTTAAGATGAAAGTCTGATGTTTTTGTTTCTGTCTTTGTATTTATTTCCTTTAATGTAACTGCTAATAGAATTTCTGCTTTGGGTAGCTTCTATGTGTAATTGTTTTGAGCGGGGCATGGCTGTTCTGACAGGTGTTTTGTAGTTTTTCTCAGTCATTTCAAGCAGATGCTGGAACTATGAATTTTTTTTTGTATTTTATGGGTCTTTGTTTTAGGGAGGTTGAGGGAGATAACAACAACACATAAAGAAGCAAGGCATTGAAATTACCAACATTGTGGCCATTGTTTCAGTGGCTCAGAGGATGATGGAACAGATGAAGTGGAAGTTCTGGAAGCAGAAAGTGATGGGGAGTTACAGATTATAACGGAATGTTGGATAGAACCACAGCATGGTCTGGTGGTGAACTGCCCGCCAGAGAGGGACTACATGGAGCACCTGCCATACCACAAGCTAGCTGATGTGGTAAGTAGAACTCGCAGTATCTTTATTTTATCGAAGGAATATTTGACGCAGTCCTCGTAGGTCACCAGATATTACATATTTTTTGGAGGGTATGTAAAAGATGTCATATACTGAACACAGGTGAGTGATGTGCATTGGAAAACAGTCACTGCTTGTGAATCCATCACATCAGGGATGCTACAAGGCACGTGGCAAGAGCTGGAGTTTTGGCTTGTCGCCTGTGCCACGAGGTTCGGTGAAAGACGATAGAAGTTGATGAGATCTGCATCTGTGAATGAAAACTCCATGCTTCTGTCTCTGTTATATGAGATTATGCGTTCATAGTAGTGGAGATGTCCGTATTGGTCTTCTGGGTTTTAACACCATGTCAGGTTGATTATACAGGCAGTAAACACAATCTAAATTTGAACCGTGTCCTGTATTTAAAAAGGCTGTCACATTTTGTAAAAAGAACACAGTAATAGTTCTAGATTTGATTCATAGATGTCAATATGACATTGTAATTTTGGATTGTGGTATGTCTTCTTCAACGGATCACTTAAGATCTGATTTTTTCATTACTTTCATGAAGCATGTTAATGCCTGCATGAACTTTTATAAGTAGTGTGTTGGGGGGGGGGGGTCAAGTCTCTCTTGGTTGAGGTCTTTTATGGTATCCTCAGTCTCTCCAGGTGGGCAATGCCTTCAAGTAAGATATACAGGCATACCTCGGAGATATTGCGGGTTTGGTTCCAGACCACCGCAATAAAGCGAGTCACACGAATTTTTTGGTTTCCCAGTGCATGTAAAAGTTATGTTTACACTATACTGTAGTCTATTAAGTGTGCAATAGCATTAAGTCTCAAAAAACATTGCGAGAATTACCAAAATGTGACGCAGAGACACGAAGTGAGCGCATGCTGTTGGAAAAATGGCGTCGATAGACTTGCTCGACGCAGGGTTGCCACAAACCTTCGGTTTATAAAAAAGCGCAATAAAACGAGGTATGCCTGTAACTGATTCTCCTGTTGTTGCATAATCATTCTCTGATCTCACTGGATGTTAAGTAACTTCTGTATTCAATACAGCATTTTTAAATCTATTAACTGTGTCTTTGTGACTTTCCTTAATCTTTGAATTAATTGTTAAGGTTGTTGATAATTTCTTAAAATTAGCCATGACTCATTTCTCCATTTACTTTTCTTGATAGTACGCCATATCAGCCACTTTTTACATTAGCCATTTAATGAGATGGAATCAGGCAGAGAACCATATAGGAACTGAAAAAACAAGATAGCGTGCGTGAGATAAGAGATATGTGTGTCATAGATAACAGTCCCTGTTGTTTTAAACTTGACTAATGTGAGATCTCTGTAGTGTCTTCTGCTTCCCTAGTGTGCTTAAGTATCTCAGCATTTATTTTATGACTTACAGAAATAATGTTTGCTCTTAGGGTTAAAAGCTTGATAAGCACAGGTCTTTAGCAGTTCATCTCTGGATGAATGAAGTATGAACCTGTTTGCAGTCACATCGACATTAGTGACATGAGAAACGTTCTGGAAAATATTCCTTGGCAGTTAAGAAAAGTACAGCCCAGCTGCACTTGTACCCAGGATTTCGTTAGACATACCATTGCAGACTCTGGCTTGTGTATTTCAGAATTTGCACTTCAGGGCTTCTGTTAGACTTGGTTTGTTATTGTGGGTATCATGTTGTTCAACGTTAGGCTGAGTTCGACAGTTTCAAAATTATGAAATTAAAATTGCAGTTTACCCAGTGATTTGTCTTAGTACCTCGCATTGTTAAATCAGGCCTCGTGGGTATTATATATCGAAATGATTAATTTCTGTCGGTATAGTTATTAATTTTCTTTGTCTCATTAGGAAGCCAGCATCTTTATTTTCCTCAGTCCCTTTCAAATGCTTGGGCAAATCCCTGCAACCATCTTCTCGTCTCATTCATAATAAGTCCTTTCTCAGTTGATGTATAAAGTGTGCGTTTGATGTAGCAGTGTTAAATAGTCCAGCAGTGTCACCTGTGACTTGTAGTTGCTAGGTTTCTAGTCACATTCTGACTGTGTGTGTGTGTGTATTCCCCCAGTCCCTGCCAGACTAGCAGTTCCTTCACACATTTCATGACTAAATAGTTTTTGTTTACTGTTTCACCTTCTCTTGCATTTCTCTACACTGCCATCACGTAACTTACATAGTAACCAGTCTGTTCAGTAAAACTGTCACATTCACATATTTGTTACATAAAAGAAGTTTTATGCTTCAGATATGTGGAAAGAAGAATATTTTCAGTTCTTTTCACATCTGAAAGAATTGCCTGTGAATGTCTGTTCAGCTGTAAAGTTATTTTTCAGTAGATGAGCTTATTTATTCACCGTTTATAAATGCAGTAACAAAAGCAATCCGCCAACTACATCGCCCGCAACAGCATAAATTTTCCAATTTTATTTTTTGATATTCACCTGGTAGTGAGTCATGTTCATATAGCCATCTGATAGCTGGTGGTCTGTGTATCTAAACTGTGTCACATGTTTGGGATGTGATTGCCACACCTGTGGCATGTTTAGTGTGTACCAATATTTAAGTTTACCATTGGGTATTGATCAGAATTGGATAAAGGAAAGAAAAAAATATTGGGTGCTTTGTATTTCTAAGACAGAGGTTCGGTGGTCTCTCTGTCTATGCGTGTTTCCCTCTGCATGTTACGTGTGACAGAAATAAACTCTTGCAATTCATTAAACATTCCTTTTTTGTGAGATTCAGTACAAAGCAATTAATATTGAAAATTAAAGAGGTAATCTTGAGGTGATTCCAGGCATTGTTAACTCTCAGATAACCAAAAATTATTTTGTTACGCGGGTCCCGCGCCGTAGCCGCATGGTCTGAGGCATCATGTTTCGGACCGGCGATACAGAATGCGCGCTGGTTCGAGTCTCGGGGAAAGAAATTTCTCATGAGATTTTTGACCGGTGTATGGGACCGGTGCCAACCCAGCATCATGAGGAAATTGGGGAGCTACAATGGGTAGCGTAATCCGGTCAAGAAGGCTAGCAATGGCTGGGGGTTTGTCGTGCTAACCACACGTCACCCTATATCTGGTTGGATGATCGTTTACCTCTGCTTAGGCATGTGAACGTGAGGCCAGCAGTCAAGTTAGTCGGCTTTGGCTCTCTGGAGCTGTTACGCCACGGATTTAATTTAATTAATTTTGTTACATGGAATATGAAAATAGGGCTTTACTTAGAAGTTTAACGGTGTTTCGGAGGTCCTTGCTGCCTTGATGATTGAGGCAACAAGGAACACTGAAACACTGGCAAACTTCTACGAGACTTCATGGTGCTACAACTCAGAAGACAGTCATTTTTGTCAGAACCTCGGCACCTACTATCCCCCATGCAATGTTTGTTTTCCTCTGGAAGGATCATGTGATGTAGAATTACATGAGCACTCTTCAACAAAATCAGCAGAACTTATTCAGACAGGAATATTCTGAGATTCATAAATTTATTAATTTTATTTTAAATGAGCAGGAATTTCCAGAGCAGTTGAAGGAATCTACTATTTTACCTGTTGATGTTGGTCTTCTGGGTAGAATCACTGTGTGAACTTGTAGGCAGATACCAGTGTTTTGGAGGGAAGTACTGCCTCCATCTTCAAGCTTGAAGATTTCTGAAATGTAGGCATAGATTGGAGGGTAATGTTAAATTAGATTTAAAATAAATGGGGTGTGAAAATTTGGACTGGATTCAACTGCTCAGGGTAAGGTCCAGTGTTAGTCTTACGTGAATGTAGTAATAAACCTTCAAGTTACACGAAGCAGAGAATTTACTAACAAACTTTTTCAAGTATGGCTCGGCACAGTGGAGTTGGTTAAGTTAATAACTTTTTTTTAAAAAAAAAGCCCGTGATGAATGAGAAATGTTAAATTTAGGCAAAAATGTTATCATGTATTGCGTCGTCCTTCATATTTTGGAGATTATAGGTTCAAATCTCAAGCCAGAGACTGGCTGTAGTGTGATTTTCCTCAGTCCCTCTGGGCAAATGCCAAAGAAGTACCTCAAATTAGGCCATGACTGCTTCCTCTCATTTCACATCCAATTTGTTAGTCATGAGTCGTCTTACCATTCAATGCTATGTATTCTGAGCTATTCACAGTGTCATTAAGTAAACCTAAAATGATTAAGGGCTTAAATTTTGAGAACTTTCGTACGCACACTTTTTTTATCATATCAGAGCTTACCTTACCTGTTACTGTTTACATTGAATGCTCTTGTCTCTTGTTCTGTGATAAGATATTGCAGAAATATTTGAATCTCTTGATTCTGTGTAAACATTACAGAATACTTGCATTTGATATTTGTTTTATAATGATAGCTTATCTTAAGACCATAGCTGCTTTAAGAACTAGACATATCTGTCTAAATTGTTTATCTTTATCGAGTATTTTCCATCAGGTTTGAAAGGCTGGATAGCAATGTGCCAATACCATGATGTTACAGAATACAATGTCATTTGAAGATCAAGTGTGATTTGCAAAAAAATTGCAAGTTATTTCTGAAATGTGACTACGTCAGATTCCTCTTGTAGTTTCTGTGATGGAAGAGGGTGTTTTAATTAACTGCATTCAGTTGAACACGATCATTTGCGGCAGACTGATGGCTTTTTGTCGAAATGAGTGAAAAGTAGGCTTATAGAGGAATTCAAGCATTCCATATTATTTACGTTCATGGTTTTAACCAGTCTCTTCAAAAGTGAATAGTTCCTTATCACAGGTTGCAATCATTATTATTATTTTGTATAGTTGGGATGTTTGTTTTAATAAGCTGCTAAATATTTATGGAATCATTGAATTTAAAAAGATCAGAACACATGCTGCTCTGCCACTGACCTAGTCTTGGTTTAAAATTTCATTGAAATTGTTGTTTAAATGCCTTACAGAAACATTATTCTTCAGTCAGCTCCTCTCTGCTGTTGGTTCTTTCATTGGTGGTGCTTTCCCTAGTAGTACGA